GTGTGGGGGGGACGCGCGGGGGGGTGGGGGGGGACGCGCGGGGGGGTGGGGGGGAACGCGCGGGGGGGGGACGCTCGGACCGGCCGCCGCTCGCGGTCTTGCTCGAGTTGGGCTCTGTCCAGTCATACGATTATACACCAAAAAGGATGAACTTTCTGTAAATTCTACCTCCGTTTTAAAAAGCTACGCGTGTTCTGGTTCCCTTCCGCCAGAAGGCCCGGGCGCCGGGTTCGAAGGGAAGGCGTTTCCACACACACAGAGTGACCGTGTGCAGGCGGCGGAGCAGCCCGGGGCACCGCCTCGCCCCCCCGCCCCGTGCGCCGCCCTCGCCCCTGCGGCTCGGCCTGGCCCTGGGGGGCTTCGGGGGGCGTGAAGGCCGAATACGCTCTCTGGAAGTTTCCTCAGCGTGAGAACCGTGAGCCCTTTCCTCTTCCGTGTTCATCCTGCTGCGCGCATGCGCGTGTCCGTGGGTCCTTTTCCTTTTGTTTCCAAAGTGAGGTCAGAGGGCAGGGCCTTCGTCAGGCGCCTGTTTGTTCCTGTTTAACCTAACGTTGTATCGTTCGTAACTCTTCTCCGTGAAGGCGGACGGACGGGAAGGCACGGGGTAAACCCGAGCGCGGCGGCGCCCCAGCGGCCCCGGGGCGTGCTCCCCTCCCCCCTCGTCCGCGGGGGACAGCCGAGTGTCCCGCCGGTTTGGGCCCGGGAGCAGCACTTCAGATCGAGAAAGCGTGTAGTTAGAAGCTGAGTTTAGCCACTTGGCAAAAAAAATTTTTCTTACCGAGGTCCCCCCGACAGCTAACGGGAAGAGCCCCGAGGCCCCGCGGCGCAGCCCTGAGGGCGCAGGCTCTGCGCGCACACGTGGGGCTGCGGCCGTGGGGGGGGGGGGGCGTCGGCCCCGGGAACAAGATTAGGCTGTCCGTCTAGGGTCGCCGTGCCCGTGCCGCTGCTGGCTGGGGGTCAGCTTCACGGCAGGTGCGGGCCTCAGCGCGCCCCCCGCCCCAGCACCCGGAGGCCGGGCTGTAACTCCTAGGGCGCCCCCGCGACGTGTACGCGCCTAGCAGGGCGGCGGCGGGACGAAAGGCGGAGCTGAGAGGGCGGCCGCGCGGGGAGGAACCGCCGTGGCCCCGGGGGAAGGGGCCTGGAGGAGGTCTCGGAGGCGCCCGGCGGAGTTCGGCGGGGCGGCATCGGAACGAAGGCTTCGTGGCCGCCCGCGTGAGGTCGTGCGGGGCCGGTGCTGGAAAAGGCCACCCTCATGGGCTGCGGGGGGGGGGGGGGCGCCAGGCAGCCGAGCGGCTCGGGCTTTTCCCTTCCGTCGCCACGGGGAGGCCAGGCCGCCGCAGCCACAGGATGAGGCAGCGGGGCTGGGGCAGGAGGCGGCCCCGTTGGTTCGGAGAGAGTGGCGTCTGAGGTGGTGCCGGGGTCGAGGTGGACGGCTGGTCCGGGCCTTCGGCACGTCTGAGCTTCCGCACGAGGCAGCGGCTGCGGAGAATAGATTTGAACACTTTCTGAAGAGGGTCGGGGTGGCGTGGATGGGATCGAGGGGAAGGAAGAAGAGGCCCTTGGACCAAATCGTGAGGGACTGATTCTCCGAGGGACGCGGACAGACACGTGGAAGAAGAACCTTTGTGAAGAGCTGCCTGTCCACGAGGAGCCAGTGCGCGGCCACCGAAGCAAACCGCAGGGGGCCCTGACCCAAGTTCAGGAGCAGCGTGTCGAGCGTCCGCATCCTTCTCCAGCGCCGTGCCCGAGCCGCGCAGCAGGAAGCGCAGGGAGCCGCGTGGGAACGCCTGGGAGGTGTACAGACCCGGGCGGGGCGCCCTCGGAATGGGCTGCGAAGCCTCAGCTGAAGACCCGTCTGCTCCTGTGCAGGAAGTCCCCTGAGCCCGGGAGAGACTTGCGGGCTGTGAGGCGCGGCGGCCCCCACTAGGCCAGCGGGGAGACTGAGTGAGGAGCCCCCATGAGGGTACTGTGCGTGTGACGAGGCACGTGCTAAGTCCCCTCATCGTGACCAGAGACGAGGGGAGCAGAGGCCTGGAGTCCTTGAAGGCACAGCCGTTGGCAGGCCCCTGGAGCCTTCGGGAAGTTCACAGGAGGGGACGGGGTGAGGAGTGGACGACCCCCAGGTCCCTAAGCACCTTCTGCCACGACTGCCCTCCAGGGAGTGGGACGGGGTCGGGGGGTGAGCCCTGGTCGGTGCAGGTCTGGGACAGGGTCGGGGACAGGGCGGTAAGTCCTGGTATGTGCGGATCTCGGATGGGGTGGTGGGGTGGGGGTGAGTCCTGGTCTGTGCAGGTCTGGGATGGAGTCGGGGTGAGGTGAGTCCTGGTCCATGCGAGTCTGGGACGGGGTTGGGGGGGGTGAGCCCCAGTCCGTGTGGGACCTGGACAGGCTCACAGGTGCTCAGTGCTCTGGTAAAGAGCGGCAGTCCGCAAGGGGACAGAGAGCGGGATTCTTAGGTCCCCGGGATAGAAGTGGTCTCGGGAGGGAGCGGGGCTGCCGTGTCCGGGCACAGCCCCTGCTAGGCGCACGCGTCCAGCCGAGCCTGGGGAGTTGGGGTCCAAATGCCTGGTGTCCTTTCCAAACCTGGGCACCACGCTGAAGTGTGAGGATGTGTCCTTTTTTCCCCCAAAACCAAATCCCGAGTCCCCGGGGTGGCCTGCTGCCCTTGCCCTGCTGGGAGGACTGGGCCCGGCGCCGCAGTCCATGTGCCTGTTTCCTCCTCTCGGCGCTACCGACAGCATATCGTGGAGGCGCTGGGGCCCTGTCCAGGCCGCTTCCTGGGCTCCTGACTCCCTGAGCATTTTGAGGTGGTGGTTCTGTGTTTGTTTTTATTTTTTTATTTATTTTTTTAAAATTTTTTTAATGTTTTTATTTATTTCTAGGAGAGAGAGAGACAGCGTGAGCAGGGGAGGGTCAGAGAGAGAGGGAGTCACAGACTGAAACAGGCTCCAGGCTCTGAGCTGGCAGCCAGCACAGGGCCCGACGCGGGGCTCGAACCCACGAACCGCGAGATCATGACCTAAGCGAAAGTCGGACGCTTAACCGACTAAGCCACCCAGGCGCCCCTCTGTGTTTGTTTTTAAAACAAAGATTCATTTGCTTTTTTTAATTTTAAAAGGGTAATTACGTTAGAGGGTAGAAGGATTCCTTCTCAAGTCTCTGGAGCCCTGTCGGAGGGGAGAGAATGTGCTAGGTTGCTGGCGAGGCTCCACTGAGACCTCAGAGTCCCCATGTGCTCCCCCGTGCTCCCGTCTGGCGGTCCCCAGGCGGCTTTGGGGGCGGGCCATCCCTGCTGGGCCACATGCCCACCCCTCCCTCGCCTCTGCCCACCCCTGCTGTCCTAATTCACGTTCTTTCTCATCTTCTTCTGCAGGGGTACTCCCTCTACAGACACCACCTCCACCCGGGTCGAGGCTGTGAGCTCAGCAGTCTTAGACAGCAGCAGCCAGGGCCGCGGTCTTACCCGAGCAGCTTCCAGCTCCAGCAAGTAGAGTTTCTCAGGGGGCGGCTCCCCGCCGTGCCCCTCACTGGGAAGCAGACACCTTCGCTGCTGCCCCTGCCACTGCCCTTCCCCCCTGCCCTCCGGCCCGGGTCTCCAGGGCCGCCCGCCAGAAGCAGGGGGGCCCAGACCAGGGCTGTTCCCAGGGGCGTGCCTGCCACAGGTCAGGTGCTGCAGCGAGGGTCCCGGAGTCCTGCTGGGCCTGGCCGGGCCTGGCCGGGGCGAGGCGTCGACAGGCTGTCCTCCCGCTTCCAGGCGCTGGGCATCAGCCGGGACCAGGAGCAGGCGGTCGTAGAGCTCTTGCGGGGGCTGGGGGACGGGAAGGCGGCCACAGCGCGTGATCTGGCTGGGAAGCTCAGGGTCACAAAGAAGGAAGTCAATCGAGTGTTATACTCCCTGGCGAAGAGGGGCGAGCTGTGTCAGGAGGCAGGAACGCCCCCTCTGTGGAGAGTCGCGGCCGCGGTGCAGGCCTGGCACCCTCACAGCCAAGTAGCTGACGCAGACCATCCTCGCCACGAAGCTGGGGGCTCGGAGCCGGCTTTGCACACCACAGACGGAGGCTCGGAGTCGGAGTCAGAGGCCCCTCCTGAGCTCTCGGACATGGCCGAGATCAAAGAGAAGATCTGCGACTATCTGTTCGACGTGTGCAGTGCCTCCGCCCTGAACTTGGCCAAAAACATCGGCCTCAGCAAGGCCCGGGATGTCAGCGCCATGCTGATCGACCTGGAAAGGCAGGGGGACGTGTGCCGGCAGGGGACGACCCCCCCGGTGTGGTACCTGACCGACCGGAAGCGGGAGCGCATGCAGATGAAGAGAGACCCAGACGGCGCTCCCGAACCCGCTGCCGTGCCCGAGGCCGGGGGAGACGTGGTGCCCCCGCCCGGTGCTGCGGACAGCGCGGTGGCCGCGGGGGACGGGGAGAACGGCCGGGAGCCGGCCGTAAAGGTGGAGGGCAGGCAGGAGGCCGCCCCCGAGCCGGTGAGGCCGAGGCCGCCCGCTCACGACAACGGCCCCTCGAGAACAGGGTATGTTGACTTTGAAAACGGCCAGTGGGCCACAGACGACATCCCGGACGACTTGAACAGTATCCACGCGGCCCCAGGTGAGTTTCGAGCCATCATGGAGATGCCCTCCTTCTACAGTCACGGCTGGCCCCGGTGCTCGCCCTCCAGGAAGCTGGCGGAGTGCCAGCTGAAGAACCCCATCAGCGGGCTGCTGGAGTACGCGCAGTTCGCCGGCCAGCCCTGCGAGTTCCAGCTGCTGGAGCAGAGCGGCCCGCCCCACGAGCCCCGGTAAGAGGCCGCTGGGCGCGCCCGCGCTGGGGCTTAGCTGGGGGGGCCTGCGGGGCACGGGGCGGGCGGGCTTTCACGCCTCCGTGTCGTGCCTGCGTCCTCTCAGGCCACGGGTGTTGAAGACGACCCCTTCCCCCTTCCGTGGGCCTTTCCTCCTTCCCAGGGAGGCGTGGGACGGGAGCGAGGCCAGCTGCGCGTGCGGGAAGTAGCCGCAGGTCCCGGCCACCTGCCTGTCGGAGGTGGCGCTTCTGATTTTGTATGCCGCGTCTGCACACGTGGCACAGGCTGTGGCTCCTGAGCTGTGACTCAGAAACTTCCTCCCTCAGGCAGCCGGCCGGGCCCTGCCCCGGAGGCCCCCGGACAGAGCGGGGCGGGGGTGGGGGGGTCGTTCTAGAAGGGGCTGCTGAAGGGCCCGGTGCAGAGCGGGGGTGGGAGGCAGTCCCGCAAACCTCTGCGTTTGCTGCAGGCTGGATTCCCAGCCGTGACTGACCCTGTCCCTTGCGGGGCCAGGACCCGCTTGCTTCTGTCTGGGCTGGAGGCCGGTGGCCGTCAGTTCTCCTCCACCCTCCCCAGCATTGGGGACAGCAGTGGGGTTTGTGGGTAACCATTCTTTAACAGCAGCTCTGAGACACAGGGCCACATTCAGGTATCTTGGAAGACCCAGGAAATAAGAAATTTGACCTGCTTTCCTAAATGAAATCCTGGATTGAGCCAAGAGCTGAACAAATTTGAGAACTTGAACGTGGGAGGTCCGAGCCAGGCCCTGAGGCCTCGTGCAAAGGCCTTGGTTTTCTGCATAGCACGGGGAGGCCCTTTCCCTCAGGCCTCACGCTGCACAGCTGTAGAATGACTCAAAACCAGAGAGCTCTGTGTGTGTGAGAGGCTGGGGACAAGAGCAGGCCTCAGAAGGGGCAGTCACCTGACCCCATGGGTGTCGGGGCGCGTGGGGCTGGGCGGCGAGGAGCCTCCCCCCTGCAGCGGCCAGTGGACCACGGCTGCTGCGGTCGCTCAGAAGATGTGGTGGCACATCGTCGTCTGCACGGGCTCTGTCCTAGTACCTCAGGCGTCCCCCGCCCCCGCCCCAAGGGCTCGCTCTAGCCAGCTCTGGGGAGACAGGCCCTGGCTGCCCTGGCTGCTTCGCTTCCAAGGGGTGGGGCCCCGCCGCCCTGGTGAGCAGAGGGCTTCAGGGCGCTGGGCCCTGTGGAGAGGGCGGCGGGGTTGCCGGGCCGCGCTCACGCATCTGCTCGCTTTCCGTCAAGATTTAAATTCCAAGTCGTCATTGGCGGCCGCGAGTTCCCCCCGGCTGAAGCTGGCAGCAAGAAAGTGGCCAAGCAGGACGCTGCCCTCAAAGCCATGACCATTCTGCTGGAGGAGGCGAGAGCCCAGGACAGCGGAAAGGCAGAAGAACCCTACGGCTGCTCCGCGGAGAAGGGGTCGGAGAAGGTAGGTGTCCTGCCCCGGCGTCGCCGACAGAGCCACGGCGTGACCCACCTCTGCGCTCCGTCTGGATGCACATAACAGAGTGCATGACCCCGGCCCCCCACACCTCCCCGCCCCCTCCCCTCACGTCCAGCGCCCCTGCCTACCTGAGTTACAGACCTCCAGACTCGAAAGGGACCTTAAAGATGCCTGAGGCCAGGCCCCATTCTTGGCAGATAAGAGACGAGACTGGGAACGTTTAAAGAACTCCCCCTTCCTTGCGGCGCCCAGAAGCTCCCTGAACCTCCCTCCTCTGGAAGTGGGTCCCCCGCCCGCCCCCTCCGCCGGGACAGGCGAGCCCGTGGTTTCTCAAGTGCTCTCTGGCCTCTCGTTCTCTCCAGACCGCGGAGTCCCAACCGGGCGTCCCGTCAACTGCGTCCTTCTTCTCTGGGAAGAACCCCGTCACCACCTTGCTCGAGTGTGTGCACAAGCTCGGGAGCTCCTGCGAATTCCGCCTGCTGTCCAGAGAAGGCCCTGCCCACGACCCCAAGTACAGCGACCCCCCCCCCGCCCCCCGGCGTGTGTCTGCCCGGGCTCCTTGTTAGCGAGACCCCTTCCCCTCAGGGACGCCACGCCATCTCCCTGACCGCTCGCACCTGCCACGCAGAGACCCACTGAAGGGCAGACAGCCGGGCTCCGGGGCTCCGGGCGGAGCAGGGGCCGGGCACTGGGGAGACCCTCGCCCGGGGTGCCGGCGGCGCGTGAGGGTGCAGCGTCTGGGCGTGCGGGAGGCTCCACGCACCGCCGGAGAGGAGGGCCCCTGGCTCCAGGCCCGCGTGTGGAAGGGGCGGGCAGAGGCGCCGCATGGGCCGCGTCTGTCGGCGCCGCTTCAGCCCTGCGCTTGTTCCCTGCAGGTTCCAGTACTGCGTGGCCATGGGGGCCCACACCTTCCCCACCGCCAGCGCCCCCAGCAAGAGGGCAGCCAAGCACATGGCTGCGGAGGAGGCCATGAGGGCCCTGCACGCGGAGGCCACCAGCTCGGCGCCGGCCGACTCCCAGGTGGGCCACTGTTGCCGCGAGGGGCTCGGGATGGCCGGCGCGTTGCCCCTCACGGCCCCGTAAGCGCTGACGCTTCCTCTCTGCGGCCAACTGTCCTTCAGCCCGGAGGCACCGGCGCAGAACCGTTTGACGCCCTGGAGTCCGGGATGCCCAACAAGGTCAGGAGGGTCGGCGAGCTCGTCAGATACCTGAACACCAACCCCGTGGGTGGCCTGTTGGAGTATGCGCGCTCCCACGGCTTCGCGGCCGAGTTCAAGCTGGTCGACCAGTCCGGCCCTCCGCACGAGCCCAAGTAAGTGTCCCGGCCCCACGTGGCCGCGGGGGGGCGGGCCCCCGTGATTGTTTTTAACTGATGTCAAGTTTTAAAGGAACACGTACGTGCATAGAATCATTCAGGCCAGTTGAAAATGTGTGCCGGGGAAGAGGCTCATTTCTGCCTTACATTGCTGGCTTCCTGCTCCTGGCTAATTACGTGTTTCTCAAATACTTGCAGAAATGTCCATGTGTATATTAGCATATTTTCTTTCCATTTTGCTTTTTTTTGGGGGGGGGATGTTAATTTATTTATTTATTTAGAGAGAGAAGCCTGTCGGGAGGGGCAGAGGGAGAGAGAGAATTCCAATCAGGCTCTGTGCCCAGCACAGATCCGAGGCGGGGCTCGAACTCAGAACTGTGAGATCACAGCCTGAGTCAGTAGCAAGAGTCAGACACTTGACTGAGTGAGTCCTTCATTCTGCTTTTTAAACAAAAATAGGTATAAGTCCTATCTTCTGTTCCGCAGTGACTCCTTTACTTACCAGCATGTGTTAGAGGTCATTTGTGGCTTAGATACACGCTCCTATCAGACTCTCTTCTACAACTACGTATTTCTGTATTTTTATACGTCTTTTAAAAATTTATTTATTGGAGGTGAGGGGCAGAGAGAGAGGCAAAGAGAGAATCCCTGGAGCCTGATGTGAGGCTCAGTCCCACAACCCATGAGATCACGACCTAAGCCAAAATCAAGGGTCGAACGCTTAACCGACTGAGCCACCCAGGAGCCCCTAAATGTTTTTTTAAACATAATCTCTAAACCCAGTGTGGGGCTCGAACTCACGACCCTGAGATGAGGAGTTGGTGTGCTCCATCGACTGGGCCGTCCCGGCGCCCCAGCTACACGTTTCCTTGAATAGATGTTTACGGTTTTACAGTTGTTTTTTGGGCAAGAGGTAAAAAAGGACTTTCCTAAGGGGGGCACCCCCACACCTACCACCTAGTTTGAGAAAGAGAACGTTGCTGTGGATGTTGAAGCCCCCACTTTGTGTCACTGACCTAACCGACCTCTGTGATGATTGGGTGGGACTTGCTCCTGCTCCTAGGGGCAGTCTGGTGCTGTGTGTCTGCGCCGTACGTTTTCTGGGGGGCTTCTGGGCTAGAGGTCACGGACGGTTTCTAAGGATTTTGGTTTTGTGTAGGAAGTAGACTACTCAGAGTGAGACCTAGGAGCCTCGTCCTCACTGCTCCCCTTGGCCCCGTGCCCGCCTCCTCACGCATGCACACCCCAGCGTGTGAGAACTTTGTACCGTATGCATCCTTTCCACAACATCTGCATAAAGATAGGAGGCAAGGGCTGTCTCCCCTTCTTTAAAAAAAATTTTTTTTAATGTTTTTATTTCTGAGAGAGGGGCAGCGTGAGCAGGGGAGGGTCAGAGAGAGGGAGACACAGAATCTGAAGCAGCTCCAGGCTCTGAACTGTCAGCACAGAGCCCGACGCAGGGCTCGAACCCATGAACCGTGAGATCATGACCAAAGTCGGATGCTCAGCCGACTGAGCCCCCAGGCGCCCCCGTGTCTCCTTCTGTTACACAAGTTCACATGCACGTGGAGATCCAGCTGCTTCTACAGCAGTGTGACCTTGGAGACGCTCCCATCTCCCACTCTCTTCTGTGCACCAAGGTGTCCCTGTGGTGCCCAAGGCTCAGGCCCCATGTCACCAGCCCTCTGGTCACCAGTAGGTGGATTGTCTCCAGACTTTGCCGTTACAGACGGTGCTGCGGTGAAGAACCTGTGCGTGTATAAAATGTTGATAAGTATCACTGCGTTTTCGTCAAGTGAGGATACCTCCATGTGCTTCTGTCAGCAGTAGATAAAGAACAGCCCTTCCCTCTTCACCGTGACCGGTATGGAATCACAGGTTTCCCCCGGGAATAAACAGTGGTCCTTTGAAATCTTCCCTAAGCCCTAATGGCATAGAGCAAAAAGCAGTTACCATTCGCTTACGTATATGGGAAATTTTTTGCCATAAGGAGAGGGGCTTGACACAGATTCTGGAAACCTTTTTATCGAAACGCTTCTCTTTGCTGCCCTAAAATGTGAGCAGTGGTATCGATGTGGTGCGAAGACCAGTCTGTGTTAAGATACTGTTACCGTTACTGTTATCAGTAGATCTCAGGAGAAAACCCATAGGATCACCTCCAGAGATTCCAGGAAGGCATTTAGCTAAAATTCAACATCTGTTCCGTTGAAAAAAACAAGCTACTAACCAAGTACAAACTGTCCAGGGCCTCCTTAGCAGAACAGAGTGAGTCTGGAGCCAGCAGCCAGCGAGGTCAGGGACATGTGTGTGTCACGTCCTCATTACACCGAGGGGCTCCGGCGTCACCGGCCAGCGCCACCCGTCAAGACAGAGAAGGATAAAGAGGGGAGGAAGTGACTCATCTACAGGTGATGTGACCGTTTACCTGAAATATTCTCGAGAGAACGGAAGGAAACTCAGAAACAAACGGGAATTCAGGAGAGCGGGGAAGCGAGAAGCCGCTTGTGAACATTGGGGACGTCTCTGCGGCGACAGGCATTTGAAGTCGTAGTAAAAGAAAGCCCGTTTGCAGCAGCCGCTAAATGCATGAGAGACCTTGGTGTGTCCTGAGCAGGAGACGTGCAGGCTCCAAGGCTCCCCTCGTGTGATGGGAGTAGCTGCCCCCAGATGACTTCCGTTTAACCTGATCCCAGCAGAAACACCGGCAGGATTGATTTTAGTCCTGCGAAACCTGACGCCAGTTTTACACGAAAAATCCGAGTGGGAGAAGAGCCAGGAAATTCTGAAGGGGGGGGGGGCACACAGCCCGGTGGCGCATTGGCCTGTGAGTGGGAAGGCAGACCCCCATGGCAGAGACACACACGGGGTCTGTCCTGTCGTGAACGCGAGGCAGTAGTTCGGGGGGACGGGAGTGGCTGGGTGGCGGGGAGAAGGCTGCCCACCACATCGCAACAGAAGATGCCATTGGGGGTCTGTGTCATCACTCACATCGAGTCTCAGTGTCCAGGACTTAGATATGAAATGGGGGCGCCTGACCGACTCGGTCAGTGGAGCCTGCAGCTCAATCTTGGTGTTGTGAGTTCTGGCCCCACGTTGGGTGTAAACTACTCAAGAACTAGAATCTTACAACGTGTTTATGTACGTATATACATATAATGTGTGTATACCTATGTGTATAGAGAGAGAATAAATGAAATCATGAGAGCACCGGGTACAAGTGGGGATTTCTGGTTTAGCATTTGGACTGGCACAGCCTTTCCAACCAAGACCCACAGGATGAAGTCCTAAATGGAGACGGGCTGTCAGGAGAGTTGGTGCTCCTTCAAAGGATTGCCTGAGGAAAAAACACTGAGGGCCAGTTTCTTTAAAAACAAGGAATTCTTTTCGAGTCTAACCGGAAGAGAAAACGATGAACTGCATCACAGAACGTCATGAAGGATCACTGGAAGGTGCTCTACCTCACGCTGTAAATGAAATGTACACGGTGTTGGCGACCTCGCAGCATCTGTGGTGTCTCGTCAGGTGGGGTGGTAACGGCAAGATGGAGCCGCCCCCACGAGTCCCACCCCCAGAGGGACACGGACAGACGCGCCGTTGCATGTTGTTTTCCACAGACGACGTGAAATGGTCTGCACCTGTGTCCTCCGGGCTGGTCAAGGGAGTTAAGGTGTATCCGCACCACAGAGCACCTCGACGCCCCAAACCAGAGTCAGCCCCTGGCGGGTGAGCCGTCGAGGGTGCAGGAGGGGAGGGATGTGTGCGGCAAGCTTACTGGCAGCCACATGGGGTCCTGTCTTGTAGGATGAAAAACACAATAGTGGTTGCTTCTGCGGAATGAGAGATACCTAACTTTCGTTATGTGTTCTTTTGATTTTTTTTTTTTAATGTTTACCTATTTTTGAGAGAAAGAGAGAGACAGAGTTTGAGCAGGGGAGGTGCAGGGAGAGGGAGACACAATCTGAAGCAGGCTCCAGGCTCCAAGCTGTCAGCACAGAGCCCGACGCAGGGCTCGAACTCATGACCTAAGACCATAACCTCACGAGTCATGACCTGAACCAAAGTTGGACTCTTTCCTGACCGACCCACCCAGGTGCCCCAGCTTTCGTTATTTATATATATATATATATACATATATATATATATATATAAATATATATACACACACATATATATGTATATATATGTGTATATATATATATTTTTTTTTTAATGTTTTATTTCTGTCT